GTTTCATGGAATGGTGAAGGAAGTGGTTTTGTTGTGTGGTGTCCAGCTGAGTTTTCTGAGCATATGTTACCAAAATATTTTAAGCACAACAATTTCTCCAGTTTCGTACGACAACTCAATACCTATGTAAGTCTCTACATATATAATTTTGTGTGTGCGCGCATATTTGGTTACATTTCACATAGAAATTTATCCTGGGCAAAATATGATTATCAACATATTCAGCTATGGACTTACTCATGAGAAAAATAATTAATTACTTGCACTCTAGTCTCTATATTTAAATCAAATTAAGTAATTTAATTTAACCATGATTTAATGATATATTAATTTTGTATATAGAAGACATATATCTTGTATTATTTGGATTTGTGCAAACGAGAGCTAATAATTAAGTTTTTTCCTTAACGCACTTAATTGTCTGTTATTTGGAGCTTTTTCTTCAAAGGGTTGTAGATAATTATTGGTATATATATGTCTTCAAATTTCTAAGTGGATAAAAAGACGTGCTGCTACTACTTGGTTTGATACATAGACAGGAACATGGTTATTTTCATGTAAAAAGATATTAAGCTATACTTTTACANCCCCCTCTCCCAAAAAAAAGGACCAAAAGAAAAGAAAAAGAAGAGTTGAAAGGTTGGACAGATTGCTAGCCATTGTATAAAAGCTAGAAATATTTCTCTTATTTTGACCAGACGTAAGAGTTAAAATGGATGGAACTAAGAATCATTTGTTGGTCAGGCTTTGTAAAATGAAGAAACACACTGTTTTTTTAAAAAAACAAAAATTGTCATGACTAATGAGATGGCTAATATTGCAACACAAGTAGTGAAGTATTGTGTAATATGCTTGGTATTAGGATGAATGTCTAATATATCATATTCAAACTCATAATCGACAGTCATCACATCATTAATATAGAATGACTGTTGAAAAATGTTTACTGGTCATAGTCAAAAACTATTTTTGACGGTTTTTAGACGACGTTGTTGGTCTAATAGGTTTTCTATACTTCTAGTTCTTGTATAGTGTCATGTCCTCGTAACTAAAATGGTAGTCAAATTGGTAGAAAGAAAAAACCGATCGAGCAACAAAAACCATCATAGTCTAAAGTCAATTTAATCACACGTTGACGTTGTCGTCTTACGGTTTAGGGAAGAATTTATTTGACAATAACAAGAGTATACTATTTATAATGAAGAAAATAACTTCAAGTTTGACAATGGAGCTCAAAAATAAAGACTCTAAAAAGAATTGATCAGCGTTTAATATATATCTTGAAATTTTTGGTTCTCCTGAATACTACCAAGTCCATTTTGTTGAATTCATGCGCTGAATATGTTTTCATCTTTATTTTATATTTCCTTAAATTAATGCTGGAATTTTGTAACGAATAATAGGGATTCAAGAAAGTAGCATCAAAACGGTGGGAATTTCAGCATGACAAGTTCAAGAAAGGGTGCAGGCAATTGTTAGAAGAAATAACGAGGAAGAAATGTGAGCCAAGTGCATTTCCTATATACTTAAAGCCTACTGAAAGGAATACATTTGCTATAAAAGAAGAGAATACAACAAGGCAGCTGCTCATGGAAGAGAACAAGAACTTAAGAAAGGAAAGGTTAGAATTGCAAATGCAGATTGCTCATTTCCAAAAATTGGAGATGAAGTTGTTGGAATGCCTTTCTCAATATGTGGAAAACTCACAAAATAAAATTAGAAGATTGTTTTAGACCTGCATAGCTTTGTGCATCCAACTATTTATTTTTTATATTATAAACAACCATGTATAATTACCCCAAATTCAATAACCCAAAAAATGAGGAGGAGGAGGGGAATCTTCCAATAGTTACATAATAGGAAGTTGAGTCTTTCAAGTCTTGCCCCAAATGTTTTATGGCTCAACTTCTATATATGCTAAACATTTATAGTTCAATACTCCCTTCATTCATAGCTTCTCTCGTCTACACAAGGAAAGCTACACATTTAGTGAATTTTTTCTTTAACATATTTAGTGACTTATAAATCATATTACTATTTTCTGAGTTTGAATTAATTTTATCCTTGTTGGTTTTCCAATTTTCCTTCAACACAACAATAAACTAAAGAAATACTAAGCATGATATAAAAGTGCATAGCTAAAGCTTATTATGCAAGAAGGCAACTTCACAAAAAAAAATTCACTTAAAATTACAACAGAATAAAAACTGTGAAACTATAGTTATTATTCTCATTTTTTTTGGTAAATAAAAATTTATTACCAAAGTTGGAATATGTACCGCTCAACAAAAAACAAAAATCAGTAAATCTGCAGTTGGGACATAATGACCCAAACATACAACAACAAACTCATTTTATATTCTCTTTTCACAATTCACACTAATATTATTTTATAGGAAAATGTTTATGGTTTACGTTAGATAGTGAAATTCCCTCGCTCCATTTTTATATAACTTTTTCATATTGAACTGGGAGTTTAAGATATCAGTTTTACTTTTATATTAATTTGTAATAGTAGAAAAAATATCAAAATAGTAGTGTAAAGTTGTATACAGTAAACAGGTTGGTGCAGCTCATGCCAGCACGGGCTCAATATTATTTAACTTTGCATGATATTTAACTGTAGATAAATTAAGAGAAATTTTCATAAAGTATTGTCTTTTAGTAGTAATTAGCCATTTATAGATACCATTTGCTATATTACGGATTATAGATACCTTTTCTGTGGTTATAAGATGTATATTTAAGCTATTATATTCATGAATACAGTAGCAAAAATAGGCATGAATCAGGGAAGTCCAGTTAATCAGTTGTTGTATTCGAGTGTATTCAACTGTATTCATGGAGTGAAACATGGGACTACAGCTGGACAAATTATTGTATTCGGTTGTATTGACAGCGTGAAATAGGGGATTACACTATTTTTAAAACGGAAAGTGAATCAATTAACATAATAGACTCCTAATATAACTTAACAAACTCAATTATAACACACAAATTTTGTATTTTCAGTTATAAAAAAGATTCTCAACCGAAAAATACCCCAAAAACATAGCAAACTTTAGAGAAATTATATAATACATCTTAATTTCATAAATTATATTAATTAAAAAAACAAATAAATACATTCATGGCATATAGCGAGACAGTGAATACAATGAAATACATAAAATACAGCGGGATATATTGAAATACAATGAAAAAAAAGACAGTAAATACAATAAAATACATGGAATACAACGAGATACATTGAATTACAGTGGAAAAAAAAGACAATGAACAATAAAATACATGAAAATACATTGAAATATATTAATAGAAAATCAAGTTGCTCAGCCCCAAACTCCATCGTCTTTGTTCAAGAACAAACCCTAATTTCCGGCGAATCTGTCATTCAACGGGATCCGGTAGTGAAAACGTGTCGCCTTCGTGGAAATTTCACTCTGAGTTATTTGGCAAGATGACTTCTTCCAATACTTGTGAGATTATGCTTAACGAACTGCTGCTATATTTAATTGCACAAGCAAACATTAAGGAGAAATTCCATGGCTTTTTTGGTTTATCAATTCCATGTCAGTTGGTGTAAAGAATCAACTCTGAAGTGGGCTCAATCAATCAAATTCAACTCTGTCAGTTGGTTTATCAATCAATTCTATGTCAGTTGGTTTATCAATTCCGCCATCGTGAAAGATTTGTAGGAGAGTGAACCTGCTCTGCAGTGGGCTTTGCACAAATTCGGTGGAAGGAGGAGAGCGAAAATTTTAATGGGATAGGGAAGAGAATGGGATGTATCAAGGTAGAGAGAGAAATAAAATAGTATAACTACTTAGCGTAGTGCCTTAGGGCTAGGAGTCACCAAAATTAAATATTTTGCTATAAACCTTAAAAGGTATCTATAGAATATAATTTTTCTAAATGGTATTTATTTAAAATAAATAAGGTGTTAACCTTTGCTATAGGAGGTAAAAATTCCATAAATTAATGCTGCAAGTATCGCGTAGATAATATTTCATGCTAGGTGATACACACTTAATTTGCATATATATTGAACGAAATATACATTGTTTGCGTCTAGGAGAGCATCACATTAAGGGATGTCTAAAATATCACAATAGTTACAACATGTATGGTATAACTATATACATATGCGGTCTTTGGTCTTCTTTCTGGTCCTGGCCAAAAATATCTGCAAACAAACAAACATGTTATAAATTCGAAGGTTCCATGTCTTTAGAGAAAAATATGATAATGATTACATGCTTGTTGTAGAAGTGCACAAGTTGAAATATACAAGAAAGCAAATTTTTATCATTATTATAAGTGTCTTCTCTTGTGCTTGGACCTAGTTAAATTATTGATGTGGGACATGAAATCAATTACTCATCAACACAAAATAAAGAAAGTAGGTTCTCTAGTATACATCCTTCATAACTTACTGGTTTTTAGTGACAGAGACCAAAAAACTCACAGATCATATACCTATTTTTAGTTAATTAATTCGTGGCATTATCAATTTATTTATCATTTTATCCCATAAAGTCACCTATAATTCATTTTTGTTATAAATACTACCGCATATAATGTCCTGCGTGTGATCAAACATGTTTCATCAGTTATCTCAAGGAGAACTGAGCCATGTTACAAACTATAATTAATGTTGCATGTTCTTCTAATTTGCTTTTCAGAACAAGGGAACAAAGTAAAGGAAAAAACAAAGAAGATATTTTTTTAGCTATTGTCTATAGGATTTAACTTCTACATACGGACAATGTAAATGATAACAATTTCCGATGAAGAATTAACTAACGAATTATGTTTCATCCAAAAAGACCAAAATTCAAGGTGAATCATCTTGAGATTCTTTGATCACAACTTGCAAGACAAATCAAGATTTCCATAGAAGCTATCAAATACTCGTTTGCTCCTCAAACTTCTAGTATAGGGAAGGTCACTACCTTAGTACTTAATGATAATTTCCTCTTCAACTCATAAGTATTAGGGAGTTTGTACTTCTAGATACTTTTACAAAATTAATAAGCCTTCAAGTGTAGTAACAAAACTACTTTTTTGGACTTCAAATGAAGTGGCAACAACAGAACTTGGTAAGTTTTGAAATGATAATTTTGATTTCTACAAAAACAAATATATGATACCGGATATGTTTATTGTTCATATTCAGATCTTTCATCATTAACAGTATGTAAAAGAAACAAAGTCAATAAAAAGAAAGCATGAGGATTTGCAATTTGGGAAAGCAAAAAGAACAGCTAAAAGAGAACACCCAGTTATGAAAAGCAGAATAACAAACCATATCAATATTTCAGTTTCTTTAAAAAAAATTATTTTGGGTAGCAACATTAAAATAAATATTTAATTAAGTTTAAAAAAAGCAATTGGAGTCTAGATTTGTAATCAAGTACACTAACCTCGTGTTGCCGCGAAATTTTTCGAGTATAAAAGCATCTAGAAAGCAGGCGCGAAAGTGAACGTAATTGCATTCAAAAAGAGCAACCAATACAGAATGTTAGAGTAATTTGTATAGTAAATTTTGTCCAAGAAAACAACAACACACATGTTCGAGCGATAAAAGAAACAGAGAAGAGAAATTTTATGTTCAGAGGAAAAGGAGAAGACGCAATACATGAAAAGCATAAAAGTCTAGTTAAAGGGGAAAAGAGCTTAAATATGGATACATCTTAGATTACTCTAGCACATATACCTGTGAACTTCATCCATACGAAGACTTTGATCTTCACCTCATCAATACAAAAACTTTACTGATCTCTCTAACCTTAAATGGGAAGGCATTGAGTTTACCTGCTATTTATAATTATTCAATAATTAGGCGTGCATGCTAATGGTAAGTAGATCGATATTTGCAATGTGACAATTGTCCAGACACTACTTACACAACCATAACAAATAGAATCTCTAAGTCAAACTCAGTGGAGACATATAACAAATAAAGAAGTAAGTGAACAAAAAGAAACTCTCGCTTCCCTTTCTCCACACGACACACACGCACATACAAAAATGATTAAAACCAAACCAATTTTATATACCAACATAGAATCCTACAGTCAAACAAATAATTAGAAGCAGACCAACAATAATCTTCAACCAAACATAGACTCCTCTCAAAGAAATTTATACACCCACACACAACATTGAGATTAATTGGGTCGGTATAATATTTGACCAGCATATGTAAAATATCAATCAATCTGCAAATCTGCATGTAATTTTTTCTAAATGTGAATATAGAGAAATGGAAACTTCCTCATGGCCACCCTCTTGAGAAACAAAATCTCATTGTCTTTCTCTCTTCTTTTTTTCTACAGATTAAAACCAACGTCAAATATAGCCTACCATACTTTCTTCCTTATTCATCCTACTACTCAAAAAATGCCAGTCGGTGCCAACTTTTTCCGGCCATGGCCATTTTTGTTTCTCTGTTTTTTCATCTTGATTTCTCCTTCTTAACAACAAATTGAACTACAACTCCTTATGCAATTCAAATCCACCCTCAAAATAACATATTCCAACATTTTCTAATTTGGTTGTTCTTTTGTATATTTTTTACCAACTTTTATATAAAAAGGTATTCTACTCAATCCATTCCAACATTTTCTAATTTGGTTGTTCTTTTGTATATTTTTTACCAACTTTTATATAAAAAGGTATTCTACTCAATCCATTCCAACATTTTCTAATTTGGTTGTTCTTTTGTATATTTCAATCCCGAAACAGAACCAAGAAAAAAATTCAATCTTTGCATTATGCAAATTTGCTCTGTATATTGAAAAGAGTCAATGCCAACTTGTTATTTATTGTGTACAAATTATTTACTTTTTTGGTTAGGCAAAGGAAGAACACATGATACAGATATCAAATGCCAAAAACAAATTACAAAATTAAAGTGAAAAAGGACAAATTAATTGATTGAAACATATATA